ATGAACAATCATACAACAAAGTAATGATCAATTCTAGACATAACATCCATGGTATATAAATATGTGAGGACAAATCACATTCCATTTTGCAGCATTGCCGTGGCATGAGAATATGGATTTTGAACTCAACATGTTTTTACAAAAATATCAAACAATGTATATTTAGTGCTGCAAGATTAAAATTTTTTTTATCAATGCTTACATAATATTCTTATATTTTTTCACTAAAGATCTTTGTAAATCCTAAGTTTCATGAGTTCAACATAATTGAAGATTCCTAGATATTGGTTTATATGTAATAATTTGTGATACTGTTTTGTGTCATATTTCTTTTTGGTTGATGTGATCTTCACTCTTTTATTTTGTCCACTTGATGCTCGTCCGCATTCCAGAAATTAATAGTAAACACGAGCATGTTCCCAAGACTCCGACGGAAGGGCGGAGGAACACTCTGCTAGTGGCTATCGCATCCCATGCCTGCTCTGAGATGCACAGGTGCATGTTACATACCATCGGACACCTGGCAGCTCGTCATCATGATGCCGACCCTCTAGCCAGTCGAGCAGAGTCACCAGATAGAAAGTGAAAGTGAGATGGGTGACGGGTCGGGAACTTGGTCATTGCTTTCGGGGCTGCTCAAATAATGAATCTGCGCAAAGCAGGCTTTAGAAGGATTGACTGAGTGCCCGTCTCTAGGGTCTAGTTCCAGTTTTCAGGGTGTTGTCATGCGACCGAAGGCCTCGAATTCAAAGGCTGCTGCTGCCGCAGTTGGATCATAGCTCTTTAATAGATTCTTAGGATCCGACCCTCCTTTTGCAAAGCAGGGCTTCTCACCTAGGGGTCGGTCTCGACAATACAACTGTCAGCTGCCAGACCTTCTCTCTTACCTTTATCGACGGCCGTTAAGTCCTTCAACATTCTTTTGCTCCTAGTTGCGCTCATTATCATGCCTCTAGAATGGGTTCCGGGTACGTGGCAGTGATTCGTACTCTGCGAAAACTACGAACAAGGAGGCAATGCGAGTAGCGCGTACTGTGCTTTAATCATATGGCCTATTTCCCTTGTACTCATTGTTTCATACCACTTGATCCATGTAAGTGGCATCGATTTTCCCCCAAATATTGTGATGTACCGTGTAATCTAATGACCAGAAAGTGAGCACAGATCAGGGAGAAAGGTTCACGGATATAAGGCAGGAGGAAATTTCTAAGTACGGGGATGTCATGCAATACCAATCTTAAAATATTTTTTGGTTGTACAATTTATTTTCTTTAAACAAGAAAAAAGAGGTGGATTTAACATCCAACAAATGTTATTTCAGCATGCTAGTGGTATGAAAAATAAAATACTATGAAATCTTGTAACTATGAATGTTTCTTCCAATTAACCTCTTGATTGAAATAGAGTAAAATTTCTCATTTTTCTCGTGCTCATAAGGAAAAATCCTCAATCACATATATTATTGAGGGAAAGTTTAATTTTCAATCGTTTATTTATGTGAAACAAGGAAATAATTTAGTTCAAATAAAGCAAATTACTGAATATCGAAAATGAAAGGAGCAAAATATTGATGGTGAGTCCCAAATCACTAATCAAAATCAAAATGATAAAAGTTAATAATAATAAATCAATAAATTGATAGAATTCATAAAAAATCTGTCTTAGAACATTTTCAAATTCTTATATGATGAATAATACTTTCATATTGATTGTAATAGTAATTTTAAAGTAAAATTTACAAAAAGTAGAAATGACTTACAGACTTAAGAAAACTGATTTGTACATTTTTGAAAATCATGATTTTGAATCAAAGGATGTTGATTATAATGCATTGATCTTGGAAGAAATAAAGATCTTCTTTTCAAAGAAAATATAAAAAAAATCAATAAATTTGAATAAAATATTGATATGGAGTTTGAGATGCAATAATTGATTGCTAAGAAGACGAAAACACTAGTGAAAATTCCAAAAAAATCTTTGGTTGATAGAAAGTGGATGTAAAAAGTGAATTACATTACCGCAGATGACAAAAGGAGAATTTACAAAACCAAGTTAGTTAGAAGTTTCACATAAAAAATGGTATGAAATAAAACAAAGTTTTTCACATGTAGCAAAATATGCTATAACTTGATTGGTATGTGCATTTGATGAAATACTTAATCATCTTAAGTATTAGATTGATGTGGTTAGAAAAAAAGTATCACTTATGGAATACACGGTTTAATGAGCTCATAAAAACACAAAGGTTTTCATATACCTACATGAAAAATATAATAATGAGATTTTTAAACACATTATTATAGTATTGCTTGTAGATTACTTGTTCAAATTGGCAAAAAATCAGTTTTTGTAAAGAAATGCAAAAATGAACTAAAATTTAAATCAAATTTTTTTTTGTGGATAAAATCAATGAAATATTGGAGATTTATGCTCATAGAGTTTTAGATATAAAAAAATACAGATCAGTCAAGACAAACACATTCAACAAATGACGATAGGTTTGACATGCCAAATGTGCCATTTTTTGATAGCACATTTCAAACTTTTTGTAGTTCAATATTCAATCTATGACATTACAAAATAAAAGATGTTATCATATTTTTAAGAAAAAACTATCTCATGTATTAATAATATGTACTAGATTTGATATTATTTAGCTATGAACAAATTGAGAAAGTACATGTCATATAAAAGAAATGTGCATTAAAGTTATGAAGTGGATTTTCAAGTTCATGAAAAAGGTATCATGGTTTTTTGTCTGATGTATTATTTGACAATATCATTTTTTTGGCTAAATAGATGCTAATTATGCTTTAAGAGAAAATCTACAACTTAGTATGTGTTTACAATTAATGATGTATAAATTAGCTGGAGATGTTATTGACAAAGATTTATAAATTAGTCAACAACAGCTTTTGAAGTAGCAAAATAATCTATATGGTTAAATATACTCATCAGGAACATGAGATTGAAACAAGAGGTTGTCAAATTTTATTGCGATAGTTGAAATGTGTTACATCTTGTTGCAAATCAGTTGATGGATCACAAAGTGAAGAACATTAAAATGAGATTTTATTTTATCAGAGATGAAGTTTTTCATAAGAAGTTTAAGCTAATTAAAATTGAAGGTAAATTCAATCCAGTTGATACATTGACCAAAGCTACTATTTTGAAAATATTTTTGATAACAACTTATGGTTTTGGAATTTTGATATAAAATCATACGAAGAATTCACTATCAGATTTATTACTTCTAAATATATTTTTACTCTATCATGTTTAAACTATGGCTTAATTTCTAGTGAACATATACCACTTTACTAGATTTCTATCTTGAAGTTATTGCAAAATAAATATTTAAGTTATGAAGATTATAGTACTTACAATACAAGAGATAGTTAGAATTTAGCTCAGATATTCATTTAATTCAAGTTAGCAAAATCAAAGTTTCTTTAGCAGGTCAAAATTTCATTCTATAAGAAAGCTCACAAAAGCTATCATTGATACTTATAAAGGTTTTCTTTTTTTAACAAAGCTTGAGATATTTCATGGACTTATCCTGCGGTACTGGGCCTCATGTATCCAGGTTCTGCCATGCTTGTGCATTTGCGTTGTTTTGACTTTACTTACTATTATCATGTTTCACAATTGATATAAAGGCATCACAAGAATCCATATAGATTGTTCATCTTCACTGCAAAAGTATGACGGAGATTAATTCGATATGGCCTTGATTGACCAAGCGTCACTGTACAATTTATGTTTTATTTTTTTCATCAAATTAAGAAATATAATATTTTATGTTAAATGAAAGCGATTTCTAAAGTAACCTATGAAAATCCTACCAAGTTCCAGAAAGCGAAGACTATGTACTCTTTGTTCATACATGGCTTCAAATTTACTTGAAGCACAATATATTCAAATTTCAATCTTTGATCTTGTATGATGATTTTGAGTAAAAACAGCTTCGAATATCTCAAAATTATATATATTTTTTCATTAGAATTAAATGATATTCATAAATTAATTGATGCTATAAGATATTCTGCTACTAAATTACTACATATTCTTTAAAATGTAATAAATTTCAAGCAATAATGATTGAAATTTTATGCTTGATATTATCCTGCACTTTTTTCAAATTATGTGATTCACTTTATATGCCTAGAGTCCATATATATATATATATATATATATATATATATTATATATATATATATATAATAAAATGAATCAGTCATTGGTTTGAACCCGGTTAGCTCAGTAGGAATGGATTGGCTTGGCTGCGATTATTGCAGTTCATTGTAGATTCAAACTTAACACAATCCACTAGTTGTACAGACTTCTCTCACCAAGTAGATGCCAATGCAACTTCATGTGGATCATTCAAGTAGGCGTCATTGGTGCCTTCGTACAAATAAGACGATCATTTCAGATCCATCTGAACCTCTGTAACTTTCGTTTCCACGACGCTACAGGTGTGCAAGAAGCCGAGGGAATATGGCAGGGAATGAGCCCATGAAAGATGCAAATCTAGCTTGAAAAACAGTTCTTAGCCCAGATTAGTCATGCGTGCACATATCACCAACCTTAGCTTGAGAAGTTATACTTCAAACAGTTGAATCTGACTCATCCTGCCTTTTGTTATACAATTGAGCCACTACAATCGTTTGGCTAACATATTTGAACGATAAAATTACAATTTAGTTCACAAGTGCTAGATTCTCTTCGACAATTTAGCTCAACCGTAGCTTCTTTCACTGCATACTGTCCGTTTATCAACCTTTCACATGGTCAGACGTCCAATTCTCATGCCTCTTGGACCTTTCCTAAGAATACTTGTTTAGTCTTCCCAAAGATGGAAGTTGTAGCTATCTTCTCAAAGGACTGAGTTGTACTCCGACATGCCTCCATGTTTTCGATGAGCAAACTCTACCAGATCCATTTCGTGGAAAATTCAACATTCCGATAGGAAATCAAATGGGATAATTACTGTTCAGTGACGCATGGGAGTGCTACAGCATTGTGCTACGTGGAAATGAATAGAGGACGGTTCAAAACATCCATTAGATTGTTAATGTAGCAAAGATCTGTACCGAATAATGCGTATTCAAGAGCCATAAAGTAGGAGAACCCTTCATTCTGAGAAGCTTCAGGTGCACTTAGCCTTCTCGGTGGAGTTGTGTGAAAGACAAAAAATAAAGACTAAATCTTGTGGCACAAGCTCGTGAAAGTGAAGGATCGTTTGTCCAGAGCTCAACGACATATCTGTTCATCTGACCGTGAGGTATGTGACAGTCCATTGATCGTCTCGACATTTATGCCATCGGCCATCGTGTTTTGACTTACAGCTTTGTGCCTCGCTCGAAGTTCTGTCCTGCCTAAGATTGCAGAGGTTTGCTCGGGTATGCTGAACGACAGCCGAACGCACAGGACACGGACCACTACGAGCTCGCAGAGTGACGAGGGTAGTACTAATCGGAGATCGATGGAATTGGCGATTGTGAACTCAAAATCAAGAAGAAATCATCAGCAGGAAAGAGAGCGAAGTTGAGGGGTGGATTGAACTTGTGGATTGTAAACAAAGTGCAAGCTGGAGTTGACATGCTGATGAAATGGATTTGTGTTCCAGCCTCCGTGATTCCGATCAAACGCCAAGATGACGAACGTGAAGCAGCTGCACAAGGTTCTGGCTCTCGCGATGGTGGCGGTGGTCGCAGCGATGAGCAACACGAGAACAGCAACCGCGTTGTCGGCCGGACCAGGCTGTCTCCATGTACCGAGAGGATATGCTCCTTCCGCAGACGCGAAGAATGCAATTCAGGATCTCCTGGACAGTCCGAACCAATGCTGCAAAAAGGAACTCGATCAATTCTGCTCGCCGGTGGCCAGCTCGGGCGACGCTGAACTGTACGTCTGCGGCTGCAACCTGTTCTGCGTGCCTTGCAGAGTCGCCGGAAGCTACCTGAGCAGCGTCGTGAACTCGTGCGTCGACAACGATAAGATACAAGGCTTCTTTTCCCTCGACGGCACCTCATGCCGCATGTTGTACGTCAACAGGCTCGGAACTTGGCGCAGCATCAAACCCATTCGCAAAGCACTATCGTCGTTCGATGTTGGCGCTCAGACCTTATAAATTGTCACGTATTTCTATCTATCGAGGGTGGGCTGGTTTCATAAGATTTTTTGTAAATGGACGAGCGTTTGTGCCCTAAGTCTGTCAAAACCACTAAATTTTTACTAAAAGGGGTTCCCCGTAGCTACCAATGGTTCAGGCGCCGGAAGAGGGAGAAAAGTTGACGCAAATGCAAAGTTTCCGTCTTGCGGACGTAATGGATAGAAGAGCGAACCGCAAATGAAAGGGAAGAGGATTGATGTGCTCGGAATCCGAAAGAGGGCCGTCGTCTGTGTGTAAGAGGAATGAAAAAGTTAATATGACTCCACTTGCAGAGTCCCCAAAGTTCAGCGGTTGAGTCACCGGCGTCATACAGTGGCTCAGTCTGGCCTCCTGTTGTCATTGAGTTGTCATATGGAATTTTCTGATGTACGCTGCCACTGTTATGCGTTCTAGCTTGGCCACGGTCCAGTTAACGGTTAACCGCTCCGGAAAATGTGTGGACCGGTTTACCGGTCCAGGATTGGTCCGTATCGGTTAACCTAGATGTTAACCGGTTCACCATCGGTCCGGACCCCTACGTGGCCGAGGGGATTTGGCGATGGCGGAGGGAAAGAATCGTTGGGTCGCGGTGGCTGATATTGAAGGCCACGAGCATAATCAGGTCCCTGTAGAGGCAGCATTTTATCAGCACCCTTTCGTCCTCCTGGCACTCGAAGAACTCGCGGTCGTAGAAGAACTCCAAAAACAAAACCCTAGACATAATCTTGAATAATTTTTTCCATCCTTATCTTAAAAAGTTGGGGCCTCACCTCAAGGGAAAGAGGTGGATCGAAGGAGAGAAAAGTAGGTTGGAGATAGCCCGTTGATAGGGCTCGTTTTTATTTCCTCATTCAGGTGCGTCCACATAACTTGACGAAATTTTTTACGTGATCTTTACTTCAAGAGGAATTTCAATAAAGTGTCGTTTTCACAATTAGAATTTTGCCTCAGGTTTTCTTTCATTTAGGGTCTTCGTTGAGAATGTTCAAAGTTGCGTGCATTACTTTTAGAGTCAATTCCAGTAAATCCCCCCGCCCCTCACATGGGCTGCTCTGCTCCTATACCCCGTACTCCTCTCAATATTATAATTTCTAGACTCAATTGTACTTATTTAGAGAATATCTGCAATAAATGAAAAATGAATAAACTTAAAATTTTTTAAAAACATGATATATTTACTAAAATTAAAATGTGAATAAAAAGGTTTATTGAGACATTTTCAGGAAATTCTGAATCTAAACTCTATTTGAGTCATAGAATACAATATATAAAAATAAAAAAAATATAATAAATTTTCATCTTAAATTTTAAAAATCATCTTTTGACACTAATAAATTAGAAAAATAATCACTATATATTATAAATTAATTATATTAAAATTCAAAATATTGTAAAATCTATGTATTTTTTTATAGTTTTAAAATTTATTTTTCCAGGATAGAGAATCTGAAAATTCAATTGAAAATAGTAACAAATTTGATAAACATGAGTTAAAATTTTTTATAACCATTCTTTGTATTATTGAAATATATGAAAGAATTAAAAGTGATGAAAGATTGAAACAATTATTGTAAACGTGTATATTATATAGATTTACGATGTGAACCGTTCAAGATTAGTTTTAGTATGTAACTAGCATGTGTAATAAATATTAGAAAGATCTAACTGTCCGATTTGATTTTTGAACTTTAAAAAATTTATAAAATCTTAACTAATAGAAGAAGTTGTAATAAAGACAACTAAGCATTAATAATATGCAAGTAAAGTCATACAAAATGCACATAAAATGAAATTAAATATTGATTTAAATATTTTTCTATTTGGTAAAACACGTCTGAAACCATTGATGACATATAATCTATGTTGTAGAATTTTTTTGTTATTTTTGAGAATAGATAGATTATTTTAATCTCATTTGTTATATTTTGATTCAATTTACATAAAATCTTGGTATTTTGACACCATCTAAATTATGAATAATATACGTGTTGATTATTGAGAAAAAAATTGTTTCAATTTTGGAACTATATTTTAAAAAAATGAAAAATGATTTTTTTATAAAAAAACCCATAAATTGTTCTTTAGAGAATAGAAAAAACAATCCCAAGAATTTACATAGATTAAAGGTAAAATAAAAATAATTTGAAGTACTAATTGGCAAGAAATATATAATTCATATTTAAAATAGAATAATGATTTTTTTTGGGAAAAATATAATAATTTAAATTGGATAAAATGAGAAGTCTATAAATTATAATAAAACATAAAGAGTTGAAAAAAATTTAGAAATCACAAATTGAAGATGAATAGATAATATTTTCAACCTAAATAAACCTTGATCCAATAAACCGTAATCCATCGTCAAAATGAATCGAAGTTGATCTTTGATCCATCGTTTCAGAGGAAGCATTAACGGATCTAGTTTCAAGAAGCAAAGCCATTTTGGAGGCTTGACAATTCAAATTTGCACTAAATTTAAGCAACTTGAACTCCATGGCAGTAGCAGCTTGTTTGACTATCGGAGTGGTAAATCCAATGTCTAATTGTCCAGAACGGGTTTTTTCACACAAGGTAAGGAGATGCTTGTAGATCAGAGGCTGGAGAGAAAGTGAAATGTAGTCACGTCCACTAGCGGCGACAGTGCAATGGTACACAGATTGCAAAAAGTCTTTGCATGATTTGAGAACACGCCAATCCATGTCGGACAAAGCCATATTGGCCAATCGGTCATAGAATTCTTCGGAGTTACAGAGCGCTGAAAATACACCACGATATTGAAACGACTGGTCGATCATAGTGAACATGGTGTTTCGAAGTGTATTCATATCCAGACCTGGAACTTCAACACGGCCCTTGGAAACGCCTAGCACAACAGCCAATTTTGAAAACTTGACGCAGATAGCAACGGATCCACGAATAGCTTTGAGTATTTGACTGAGCATTTGCACTTCTTTTTTGATTAAATGTGTAGCATCACATACAGCACGATTGATGACATAACAAATGCAGCGTATATGAAAACCATACTCCAACCGAAGAGAGTGTTGATAATTCATATTCACTCTCACAATGATCATGGCAGGTGGCATCTCTCCGCCGCTGTCGAATGTAATGGCCTTGATCTTGGAACACATGTTGAAATCTTTCACCACTGAGAGGATCAAGTCCGATGTAGTGTGTTGATTGTGTGGAGATGGAAAATACCAAAATCCCAGCACAACAGACTGAAGTTTCCACTCTTCATCAATCCAATGAACTGTAATCACCATATAGCCACCCATCACACGGGACGACTAATAATCCAGAGTGAGAGCAATTGCTCCCTTGATAGAATCCATAGTTGAACGAAATTGTAGTAATGCTCGCTCAAAATGATCAGATAATGAGCGTGTGAGAATTTGACGCGATGGTAGTAAGTAATGGAAGTTGAGACGTCGGCAAAATGATTGAAATGTCTCGTTCTCGACCAGGTTGAACGCTTGTTGGTGATCCACCACAAATGCAACCAAGGCATTTAAATTGGCTTCTTTGGACTCGTTGTCCAACTCATAAGGATACTGCAGTTCATCATTTACACCAAAAAAAGTTTGCAGAGGATCGACTGATTTGTAACTCTTTGAGATATTGTGTTTTACAAGGAGATGACGAGACAACAAGCTTGTTCCAGTTTTGGCCGAAAATGAAGTAGTGTATCTACTGTTATGAGAACCTATGGGCTCAAGACAGATGATAAGGGATTTATTAGAATCTTTCATCAATTTGAAATGATTTCAAACCCAACTTGCATAGGTTTTTGCCTTTCGTTTACGATCCGTGGATGTTGTCGCTGTCCGACCAGAGAGAACGATAGACTCTTCATGTGTACTTGCAGACGAGTTTGGGATTGAATCCACAATGAGAAAAGGGTCATGCTGCACCTCAAAATATCTGCATGGATGAGAAGACATATGAGTATATATTCCCTAAACCCTAAACCCTAACTTACTTAATATATAGAAAAGGAATTTTTGGAGTAGTTCAACCTGTAGTGGATTAAATTAACTGAACCAATTAATCAAACAAGTGCATATGAATTATGTTACACCCAAACTCACCTCCCAACCTTTCCGGTTATACGGCCGTGTGACTTGGAGTAAAACGTTCGCACGTACTGCAAAGTAGCATAGAAAAGAGTAGGTACTACATGTTTACATGCATAGGCAAAATCAGAAACAGTGGGTTAAGCAACATACCTTTTTCTTGAATAACAAAGAGAAATTCAAGTACAACAATTCAGCACTAGCACTTTGTGAAGGATCAGGCACGAAAGAACTCACCTCCCAACCTTTTCGGTTATACGGCCGTGTGACTTGAAGGAAAATGTTCGGACGTACCGCAAAGTCAAAAATCAGAATCAGAAATTTCAGAATCAAAATCAAAAATCAGAAATTAATTCTGATTTTGATTAGGCAAAATAAGAAACAGTGGGTTAGGTAACATCCCTTTTTCCTAAATAACGAAGAGAAATTCAAGTACAACAATTCAGCACTAGCACTTTGTGAAGGATCAGGCACACGAAGATTCTAATCGATGATTCAAGCAAGCTCGCTAAAAGCAAAAATGCGACAGACAAAGAGAGAGCAAGCTCGTAGACAGCAAATCTTTAAACAAAGCAAGCTAAATTACCTTCAAATCACATGATCTAGAGTTTTGCTTGGCATGCTTCTGCCAGCCGAGACTCTAGGGGAAAAATTCGTGCGAGAACACCAGACCCTTTCCAGCCAAGGCTCTGGCCTCTTTGTAATGAATGTGATCGTGGTGTTCGATGCGGCGGATGTAGTCTGTGGTAACACACTTTTTGTTTTTTTGCAGAATTTAAACAATTTTAGAAAACAAGTACCGAAGCAGTGTCTGTAGTTAGAAAAGGGTACGTTAAATAGAGTGGATTGAGGAGATCGTCACGAGGTCACGAAGAATCGCGAAGTCGGATGTACCAGCGCCAAATGTCTTCGGCGCCTTCGCCAAAAGCTCCTTTTCTGAGGTGTCTCTACTCACGCGCTTCCAACGCTTAAGTAAGCTACTCTTCCGGCGCAGACACCTCCGGAGGAGATTTTGCTAAAGACGTCAGAAGAACGGCACGGATCTCTGAAGGCTTCCGACCATGAGTACGCCTTCGGCGATGCGCCGCTAGCGCGGAAAGGGAAACCTTCATAACGATCGGAATACACGGTAGTTCCAATTGGTTGAAGTTGCATTGGAAAGAGCTCGGGACGTTCGTCCTAACGAGCCCAAGAGCGTTGGAGATGGATCAGGGACAAAGAAGTTATGAGCATCGGAAAACTCGTAGCCGGACATGCGCCGTTCGCGCTAGGGTTCACAGTCGGGAAGGACTCCCGTACGCCTTCGGCGATGCGCCTTCGGCGGAATCACGGGCTCATGGGAGGAAATCAACTCAGAGTCGGAAGCGCCTTTGGCGGCTGCGCAACGGAAGAAAAGCGCCGGCCGGATGTACGCCTCCGACGTGGCGTTGATAGGCGGATGCGCTAGCATGATTTGCGCCGGCGGGATATGCGCCGTCAGCAATAGACGAGGCAGAACGGACAAAACAAGTGATACGAATACGCGCCGGCGTAATTCGCGCCGACTGGATGTGCGCCTCCAGCAAGGCGCCGACGGATAAGGAACACGCCAGCGGCGACACGCCTCCGGTGATGGTCGGGTTAGGAAAAGACAACATAGCCGACATATACACTGCGGCGAACTCAAGTCCGGAAGACGGTGGCGGCGGGAGAATTCAACATTCACGCATGCGAATGCGCGCAGTGCGAAGACGTGAATTCGAGCATGCGAGGGCGAACCGTTAGGCCGTATAGCCAACTGCGTAATTGTAACCAGTAAGAACGTTGGACGATCTTGAATTCGGA